ATCAGATCAAAGATGGCTGAATTAAGGCTGTTTTTATTTTTGGCAATATTACTACTACACGGAACACATGTTTTGATGTAAATAAACAATCTGTTGTATACGCCACTTGTTTATTAAGTTTCCTTTTATTTATTTTTAATTTGTAATTATAGACATTATTACTCTTATTTCATCAATTGATTAAGTAACACTGGAAGGTGCTGCACACTGATTGGTACTGCCACATTTATTCACATTTATACAGTGAATCAAATTGTTACTAAGATGCTCTGGGATAATCTGCAGGCCTGACTAATAATTTACATAAATTTGGTGTAATCCACAGATTTAATTCATGTAATACCTCAGCATATTGGTATGGACATCCAATACCCTCAACACATCTGATTTCTTTCTGAGTTTTCTTTGATTTATATTTAAATTCATCCCTTGTGTTTTTTTATATGATGATTTCCAGATAGAAAAACTTGCATGGTTTCCATTTTTGTCTAGATGAGTGCATATTAGTAGTCATACATTTCCCTTTTGTCTAACAAGAGACAAACCTTGTCTGAGTCAGTCAGTTAATTATGACAACTCTTCTCATATTTGTAGGACAGTGGTTAGTATATATAACAAATGACAGTGTTTTATCAGCTCATAATCTATTGGAAAGCAGACGTGGACAATATCATAGTGAGGTTACAATAGATAACCCTCTCAGTGTAGTCATAGTTTCATCACTGACTAAACCACACTGTGTTATGTTAGATCTGGATACCCATGGCAGTGGATATATTAGTGAAATACAAATTGCAGGTAAGTGTGGCATGAAAAAACTAAAGATTGCATAATATGAGACTAGCCTCCATTTGTGATAATGTTTGATTAATTGTCTAGATAAAGAAATAAAATGAAATATATCATTGTGATACCGGTAATATCTACAACTACAACGTTATCTATTGTCAAGGATTTATAAAATAAGGATGTGCAACTTTGATCTTTATGTATGGTGATATATGCGGTGAAGCTCTCACGAGTTCCATGCAGGTGTCAATCAAACATATTTTAAACAATGGCTTCAAAGAAAGCAGAGAGTGTGCCCTTGGAAATGTTAAATTGCGTAAACAGAAATTAATGCTGAGATTAACACTGTATTTGCAAATGAAAAACACATGTAGTACATGTTTTATAAATAAACAGAAACACTAATTAGTTCTTTTGCTTTAATATTTCTGGAAATGTTGATTTGTCTTGCAATTTTGTGATCACCTTGCAATTCGCCTAACTTTAGCACACATGTGATGCAATTCACCTAACTTCAACACATGGTACACACTTTGCATATCCTCATCTTGTATAGATCTTTTTTATTTAACTGAATATGTTAGATTTGCGTTTTTACAATTCACATATGAGGTTATTTACGTCACCAGCATGCATGTTTTGCAAATTTAATTTATTTCCATGACGATACCACTGATTCTTGATTTTGTTAATTTTTGAGAAAAAAGGATTTTTTTATTTTAAGTTTACATACTTTTGTTGTGCTGTGCATTCTTAGCAATTAGCAAAATAATCAAAAATAAACCATTCTTCCATTGAATAATTAAATTAAGCATTTTAAAGTCTCAGTCTACTACTTTAGTACACATGGAACCAAACAATTCTTCTTTCGCAATGACCCATGAAGACCCAGCTTGTTACTGTACATAGTATACAATAGGAAACTGTCTGGTACTTTTATTGTCAATTTTTTTAAAACGTTTTAAGATCTAATTCATACAAATAATATTTTTTCATCCTGTCTGTGAGCAAATTTAAAGATATAAAGAATTAATTCATCATTGAAACCAGTGGAAAAGTACAAATTTTAAATGCATGAAGAAAATAATACAAGTTTTTAATTTAGCCCAAACCACAAGACTACAGTGTATTGTTTCTAAATCATACCAAACTTTTACATCTTTGCTACTGACAGAAACTCTTCAAGTAAGCAGAACCCAAATATATCTACCGTTTATGGAACGTGCAACTTTCACAATTGTCAGTTCTATTTTGCTGGGTCAGCTGATTGTACTTCATCAGTCAAGCACAGAGAAATCACATGACTATTGTCATGTTGTTGTACCAGGTAAAGTAAATGAAGCACTCTATTTTTTTTTTTATTTCGGCATGATCTCATATATATTTTGTTTCACTGTGTTTCATCTGGAAAGCAAAGTACAAAGCCATACTTCAATTACATCAGATGTGTGTGTAGCTTTGTTTATTGACAAGTATCCATTTTGTAGTTTGAGCTGGCCAACATGTGTTTTTCTGGCCAGAATTATTACATTTTGCAGTATTTTCCACAATTTACGGGATGAACAAGATGGTAGATTTGATGAAGTAGTCAGATATCACATGACACTGAAACCTACAAATAGTCTATGGCAGTGTGGCCGCTAATCTGGTGACGCAATTAATTGATCTTGAAAAACATTTTACTATAATAGTTATGCAATTTATAATTTGGTAAAATGAAATTCACGTAAATAAGTGTAAAAAACAAAGGAAATCAAAGGCCACAACATTTTTGTTTGTGATCAAGTTGCCTATGCACATAAAATTTTTCACATACAAGCCGACTTAACTTGATTTTCACCCCCCCCCCCCCCCAACAAATTTGTCCTGTTAGAAGGCACATGGGATAAACAAAATGGTGGATTTGATGAAGTAGCCAGAAACAAATATCACATGATTCCGGTGTGCATGTGTAGACAATGCACCTACACATAGCAATGATTGCCGGCAATATGCAACCAGTTTGTGAATATTTCATAACAAGAAGCATCTGTATTCTTTTGTTACTCATTTGCGAAGGAAACGATATATAACAAACCAATCAGATTTAAATGATACTTCCGTAGTATAAAGTTTTGGGGTTTCATCACGTCCACTGATAAATAGAACCAATTTTTTTTTTTTGATTCACAATATTCAATTGAAATATTTTAGCATCAATAGTGGATTTCTTTGATAATGTCAATCTGTAACTAATACAGTTTTTACTACTTTTTTCACAGGGGTTGGTTTGTACAAAAGCTTTCCAGTCGAGGCAGACCAAACAATGAAGACTTTTTGTGAACAGAATAAAGTAGAATTGAGCAAGTTTCAAAATCTTCAATGAAATGTATACACCACATTCTGTTAAAATAGACTTTATTGACACTATGCAGCATTATGAAAGACAACTTTCACTGGATTACTGAATAATTACAACAAAAAAATCCTGCGTATATGCAACTGAAAAGGGCTTCATTCAAATCATAGCCCCCTCTATGGCAATCAAATCTAAATCATGTATCTAGCTGTGCATAATTACGTAATTTGTGGATACAACAAGGCTATCCATCCCATTGGATGATGGCGATAAATAAGTGTTTAGCAAATATCTGCATAGATGGGTCCAGCTTAAAAAAACACAAACTCTGGTTTACAAATATACAGAAAATATTTACATTTTTAGTTTTTTAATTGATGCCTAGATTCTTAATATTTCACCCCAGCATTAATTATATAATTTCTGTCCAAAGTGATAAAAGCTCTTTGCAACCTATCACTTTCATGTTCTTTTGCCGAAATGACAAATTCTGGGTATTTTTGAGAAGGCTACTCCAATGTAGCGGTTATCAAATTAAATATACTTAAGTGACATCAACAGATTTCAGTTGATGTAGTGCGTGTACAGCGAGGTATATTTATATCAATACAGTAAGGCAACGCTTGGCATCAGTGAAGTATACAGTTCATCTCAGCTGCATTCCTCTTTAAATAGAGGCTGTGTAAATGCTTTGAAGCAGTCTGATGTTCTTGGGTATAAAAAAGGCTTCCTGCAAGTACAGCCATAGATAAATCACAGCGGAAGAATGTATGTTTCAAACGACAATTCCCTGCTCGTAGCAGTGCTCCTCTTACATCATTTAGCTGTGTGTGGGACACTGCCAGGAATGAAGATAACAATAGCGACTATTATTGGATGACGACGACATTATTCCATTACATTTACATTTATATCCATCTGAGTCATTTTTTTCCAGATTGATCACAGTTCCTACATCACTTGTACATGTCACACCTACTATGGTATAATTCTATAAAGAAAGGAAGAAAAACAAGTCATTGAAAATGACACAGTCCCCGTTAAATTAAGTTCTCTTTGTGCTCGTTATATTAAAGTGGAGGGTTTGCCATGAGCGTGTCCTTGAAACTTGAGTTCCAAGTGGCATATATAACAGATTGTTTATTTACATCAAAACACGTGTTCCGTGTAGTAATAACATGGCCAAAAATAAAAACAGCCGTTATTGATCTGA